TGTCAGCCATAATAAAAACGAATGAAGCAGACCTGACCCAAATCTGGCCCAGACATCAAAATTGCTGTGGCCCAGATCCGGCCCACAGTTGACACTTTCATCTGGCCCACATGTGGACCAGTTCGGCTTCATTTGTTTTGTTTATGGCTGACATGCGGCATTGCTATGGCTTAATTGTGGCCCAAATCTGGCAAACAGGAGCGGACCGCCCAAGTGCCATCATTCCATGCGGTATGTGGGCCAGATGAAAGTCTCAACTGTGGGCCGGATCTGGGCCACAGCAATTTTGGTGCGTGGGCCAGATGTGGGCCAGTTCTGCTTCATTCATTTTTTTTATGGCTGACATGTGGCATTGCTATGGCTTAATTGTGGCCCAAATCTGGCAAACAGGAGCGGTCCGCCCAAGTGCCATCATTCCACGCGGTATGTGGGCCAGATGAAAGTGTCAACTGTGGGCCGGATCTGGGCCACAACAATTTTGCTATCTGGGTAACATTTAACAAAATCACCCACCTTCATTCATACAACAGGCTTTCTACCTTGAAACAAACAGTGACCGTGGCACCTTGAAGGAGTTTTCCTGAACGCAGTTTTCTATAAATCACATCACGTTCGTTCACTTCAGATTAACCAGTTCCCGAAAGTCTGACATCAATGCAGGAAATGCCAGGTATGTTGTAGAGCAGAAGACAACCAATGAGAAGTCAGTGGTATGCGCCATGGGAATTTTCCTCCCAGCTTTTATTTAAAGTGACACACCTTTTTAACTAAAAGTAGCTCTTTCCATGGTGTTTATTATCTGTTTATGTCGAGTTACTTGCTAGGGTCGAGTTACAGCTAGTTGTCACACATGGAGTCTTAAAAGCTATTTTGGAGTGGTTGCCACTTTTTTGTGCCACAATTTATTAATTACAGTTTTTTTTTTAACAAAACAAGCAGACTCTATTCAAAATTGTCGCTTCACTATTTAATTTTTCAATATGTTGAATAAATAGGCTATGAGGTAACCTGACGTGCTCGCGCCATGGTCAATTTTCGCTTCAGACGATGGAACCAGGGAAGCAGCCTCCGAGCCGTGCTTTTATACGCTAAGCCACACCCACTTGAGCAGGCTGTGATGCGTAGTCACGTATGGCTCAGTGGTAGGCTGCTGCAGTTGCCGTAGAGCAGCCTGTGAGCACTCTAGACAGCCTGCTAGGTCTGCTAGCTGCTGCACTGCGTTGACAAAAAATACAAAATTAAGGATCATTTTTGGCTTCAATATCTCGAGAAAAGATTACTTTACCCGTAGCGTAAGCTAAATTTAAGCAATACTCATCCCTCTTTAGAGAGAACCAATGTAACGCTAGGTAACCGAGTATGTTTTGTTTAATTTTAACGTATAAATTTCGCAGAAACGTATTAAAAGCTGTGTTGTGGCAGGGTCCAATCCGATCAAAAGTGGTCGCTATTTCTCATAGCTTACAATAGCATTAAAGTCCACATGAAATTAAAATTGAAGTGTTTTGGGCTTTACTATGAATACGTTAGCCTCACTGTTATCTATAAGCAAGTGTGCTCCAAAACAAAGACAAAATTTGCATTTAGAAGATATAAGCTTTCAAAACTTAAGAGTCTTTCACTTCCGCCAAAATGGATCAATGATTTTGATGACATCACTCTGCATTTCATCTTCTCATCCGATTTTCTGTCCAATCAAATGCTCTCTATAATCTGAAGTGTCCCGCCCCTACACTATAAATAGATGCTAATGCTGCGGCTAAAATCGGTCACGTTCACACATTTAATATTTTCTAATGGTTAATAGTATTTTGTCCCCAATGAAATAAAACCTTACCCATCTAAAACATTCTATTCCAGTCGCGCCGGCAAAGTTGATCAATCAGCTTGGTCATCTGCATTTTCCGGATCAGATTCGGGCTCGAATTGATTTGATAGTATACCGACATTATCACCGGTCATTATTGCTTTGAAAGCTGATGTTCCAAATATGGTACGGGGAGTGGCATTTCTGTCACATGCTTGGTTTTCGGGCCAATTACAATGCACTAGATCGCTGGCCAATCAGAGCACTTTGCGCTTTTTAGAAATATGAGCTTTGTAAAACTTGGCCTCATTTCAGAAAGGCAGGTCATAGAGGAGCAACAAAAATGTACGGAATGTGCAAAATAATTACTGTTTTTAACCTAAAACCACTTATTTTATTACATTTAACATTGCATTAAACTTAATACACAAAATAATGTTCTTTTTAGAACCATCATATGACCCCTTTAAAGTGAAATGGAGGAGATTTGGAGGAAACTGTTGCTTTACAAAGTTCAACAGCTCTGGCCCAGCTGTGATATGAACAAAATGTCATTGGCTGTTTTAAAAAAGAGAAGCTGTTTAATATTTTCCACCCCGTTTTCCTCTTTCAGTGGCAATTACGTCAACACATTGAATAATGCTGCGTGTTTCAAGGCACTTCAGTGGGTCTTTAATGTTTTTTTTTTTTTTTTTTTTTTTTTTTTTTGGTTTAGACTTTAAGCAGTGGAGATAAAAAAAAAAACACTTTCCCTGAGAAATATTCAATGTCAATTATGTGACAACTAGTCTATTTCATTTGTAATTTTACTAGTAACAATTATAATATGGAAATGCAATTATAAGCAATTATTTGATGAATTTGTTGAGATGTCTATGAGCAAGACATACCCCAGCTGCTCCCAACGAGGAGGTACCTACTCGATCTTAGTGCTGCATTTGATGACCACAGCATTCTTTTAAAATAGATTCTTAAAACAAAATAGAAAATTATGTTGGCATGAATGGACTTGCATTACTTGGTTTAAATCATACTTATCTGACTGTTATCAGTTTGTACCAGTGAATGAAGAGATGTCTTATTGATCACAAGTTCAGTGTGGCATACCCCAAGGCTCGGTACTAGGACTGTTTCTGTTCACTACATGCTACTCTTGGGAGATATCATTAGGAAGCATGGAATTAGGTTCAGTGTGTTTAATGTGTTTTGAACTGACAGAGTGTGTCTGCTTCCCGGACAATGTTAGGGAGACTGTTCCAAAGTTTAGGTGCTAAATAGGAAAAGGATCTACCGCCAGCAGCAGATATTCTAGGTATTATCAACTGGCTGGAATTTTGAGATCGCAATAGACATGAAGGACTATAATGCATTAAGAGAGAACATTTAGTGCTTTGTAAGTAGACAGCAATATTTTAAAATGTATACACTGTTTAATTGGGAGCCAATGCCGTGTTGACAGAACCGGGCTAATATGGTCAAACTTCCTGGTTCTAAGAACTCTAGCTGCTGCGTTTTGGACCAGCTGGAGTTCGTTTATTAAACGTCCAGGGCAACCACTCAGTAGAGCATTACAATAATCTAGCCTTGAGGTTCTGCAGTTTTCATTGAAAGCATATGTCATAATTTAGATATATTTTTAAGATGGAAGAATGTGGTTTTACAGATGCTAGAAACGTGACTTTCAAATGAAAGTTTGGTATGAAAGGGCACTCCCAGGTTCCTAACCGACAACGAAAACTTGACAGAGCAGCCATCAAGTAGACAGTATTCTGGATTATTATGTGAGGAAGTTTTTTTTTTTTTTTTTGCCAATTATTAGAATCTCTATTTTTTCAGAGTAAAGTAGTAGGAAATCCAAATTTTTATATCAGCTATATCAGCAAATTTTTAAGAAATATAGAGCTGAGTATCATCAGCATAACAGTGAAAACTAATGCCATGCTTCCTAATGATATCGCCCAGTACAGAGTGAACATTAACGGTCCTAGTACTGAGCCTTGATGTACACCATACTGAACTTTTGATCCATAAGACATCTCTTTGTTTACTGCTACAAACTGATAACCGACAGATAAGTATGATTTGAACCATGCTAATGCAATTCCATTAATGCCAACATAATTTTCGAGTCTATTTAAAAGAATATTGTGGTCAATGGTATCAAATGCAGCACTACGATCGAGTTACACTAATAGAGAGATATAGCCACGATCGGATACAAGAGCAGATCATTTGTAAATCTAATGACTGCTGTCTCAGTACTGTGGTACGGTCAAAATCCTGACTGGAAATCCTTGTAGATATAATTTCTTTCTAAAAAGGAACATAGTTGTGAGGAAACTGCTTTTTCAAGTATCTTTGACAGAAAAAAGTAGATTGGAGATCGGCCTGTAATTGACTAATTCCCTAATCAAGTTGCATTTGAGGTTTAATAACAGCCAGCTTAAAAGTTTTTGGTACATTTCCAAGTGACAAAGATGAATTAATGATATTAAGAAGCAGGTGACCTCTTGAAGCATATCTTTCAATAGCTTATTGGCATATGGTCTAAAATACAGTATGTTGTCGATTTAGATGATTTAACTACTGGATCAGTAGCAGCTTTTAAAAAGTTACTATAATAAATGTAATTTTAATAGTTATATACTTGTAGTTTATTAAAATTGGAAGTGAGAGAAAACTGTCCGGACCTTGTTCATATATTCAAGTTTATAAAAACGTCCCGTATAAGGGTTGGACACAATTTTAACAATGCCCCAATTATACAATTTCCTACTCTTTTCTTCCAAGCAGTTTCCACATGGTGTCGATAAAGAGCTAGGAATCATCTGCAAATCTGGACGTTGATTCTCTCTTTGACAATGACACCACTCAAATCAAATCACTTCAACTATAAACGGGAAGCACCATCTGTTTTGTCTATGAGTGGTATGAGTAGGCAAATAGTCCTACGCATTTGTATACTGCGTTATATATTTTATGAAACTATTAGATGTGTCACAGAGGCTAGGACTTCAACAACAGATATGTTTGACTAGGAATGGGCGTTGTCCATTCAGTCGAATAGCAGGGTTTGTGACGAGACACGCCCCGCGAGCTCGACAGTCGTTCCTCCACCAACCTTGCCACATTCCGGGCCCCGCCCCCTAGCGCGTCTCTACCTCTGATTGGCTCCGCGCCCTGTCACTCATTCTCCATTTTCCAGCTGTCGCAGCTCCAGGTTTGTGTGCGACTCACACCGGACTGGACGGTGCGATCATCTGGAAATTTTTTCACTCCGTCGATTTTTTAGGAGCCCACACCTGTGTCATTTTTTCGTCCATTTCTCGTCTTTAAATATTCATTAACCCCAATCGGATGCAAAGAAATGAGCGGTGAAATCAGCGGGCGGAGTGTAAATAAAGATTCCGGCTAGCTAGCAGGTTAGCCCACCCAATTAAGCTAGTTAGTGCGCTTAGCTAATTAACTTATCGGGTTTTGTATGCTCAAAATCAAATGTTTGCACTGTAGTCAGTGTTGTATGTGCACACAGCGTCTTTAAAAGCGCATATGGCTGTCTTCTGCCACCTGTCGCCGTGTGTTAGCCAGAGATCCGGGTAGCTGATGGACAGTGTTGCGGTGATTCTGGGCACTGGGGCGGTTAGCTTAGCGAGACAGCAAAGGACAGCACGGATGTCGTGGCAGGCTAGTTTGTCCCTCCGGGACTCTAGTTGGTAGTCGTCGCAGATTATTAAAAACAGGGCTTGGGTTGGTCTGATAGTGGGGAGAGCTTTGGATTCACATCTGGCCTCCATTCTCATCCAGTCTTTGGCCTTGTTCGATAGACCCGTTTGTATGAGCAGGCTGAGGTTGTGGTGCTCTATTTTGCTTGATCGATTTACGTGTACCATCATAAAGCATCCTGGATCGCATGCTGCATTTTTAAACAACATTCCCACAAATCCATCCTGTTCCTCTTTCGACACGGTTGCAAAGGGAAGCGGACCGTAGAAGTGTGTCAGATCAGGGTTGGGATCTCTAAACGCTGTGGTGATGACTTTGGAGTCCATGATGGCCTGTTGCATGAGTGAAGAGGCGAAGGAGTCCAAAAGAATCAACGCCGAGATCGACAAGCAGCTTCGGAGAGACAAGCGAGATGCGAGGCGAGAGCTCAAACTGCTCTTACTGGGTGAGTGCATCTCTGACAGCTGCTGATGGCAAACGCATAAAATATTGCTTTGTGGATCGAATGCATAACGCTAGTGATGCTGACTTGCGGTTTAAGTCAGCTAAATCAAAGGCAAACGTGCTACTTTCACTGCTTATGTCATTCGTGTACATATGAATTCACTTATATAATTCGTGCACGTGTCGCATTGTGCTTTTAGGATTGTTCCACGAAATGTCCTTGTCGAAAATCTTATTTAGACATAGTACTAATAGGATCTGGCGTTCCCACGGTCATAGGGCTATCAGGGACTTTCATGGCATATTCTATAGTGTTTTTTTTTCTTTCATTTTCCGTTTTTGCTTTATTACAAGGGGAAATATTTTAAAATAAATAGTGTGTGTATTTACATTTTTGCTTGGCTACAATTGGGAAAAATATATACATATATATCATGTCGTTCATATTTTTATATTTATAGGCATTGTGCTTTTGCGATATTCTGCTATATCTTGTCATAAATCCTAAAAGTCATGTCCAGTCATGGAAAACTGAAAATATGAAGGAATTATACTCTATTGAATTATTATAATTGTATTCAGTTTTTCCTTGGCTGCCTGGGTAAAAATATTTTAAAATGTATGCAATATAGTAAATGTATTTAGTTATATTAGGGAAAATATCCTAAAATGTATAGTGAGCGTGTTCCCGTTTTTACATTTTTGTTTGGTTATATTTGGGAGAAATATTGTAAAAATATTCCAAAAACACAGGGAATGTGTTTATATTTTTTTTCTTGGTTACATGTGGTATTTTAAAATAATTCTCAAGGATCAAACATGAATCCTATTTCAATTGTTCTTGAATTACAATAGATTGTTTTTTCACCTGTTAAACTGTCACTAAAAGTCTAGATGTTCATTTATTAGCAATGGACATTAGTAAGTGTTTTAGAGTTGCATGAGTGTCAGTTTACATTCATCTTGTGATCTGACCATTAGGCTGCTCTTTGCTTTCGTTTTGGTGTCAAAGCCATTAGGTCATTTGTGGCTGTAAGCAAAGCTAAATAGTCAGCAATTTAAGCCTAAGAGATTCTATCTGAATATTTCAGTACTGCATAGCGCTTCAATAACACGCGTCCTTACATTATTCTCAGAACGGAGAGATGCAGTAACTATGAAAATAATTAGATCAGAGGCTTAATTTGAAACTCGGGTTGCAAAATCTATTTAGGACGGTGTTTGCATCCCAGTTAATTGGTGCTAAAGTCAAAGAGAGTCCAGATTTTATCTTTTCTGATTGCTTGCCTTTAACCCGATTCTTGGCTCTCCGATGAGCCACAATGATAATAACGTGAAGAACGAAACCTATTGTGACCAGATTGTGGTTTTACAATCTCTTCCGGTTCCCAAAAATGGCAAAAACTGGCAGCCATGCGGCAGGTTGCTGTTAAAAATGGCTGATCTGGTCAGAAAGGGATCCTCAAATTGCGTAGATGCCGATAAACAGACACGGGCCCTTGTTGTGTAGTATGGGCTGACCCGTAAAAATGCTTCATAGAATGAATGTCCTCAGAAAGCTGGGCCATGCTGCGTGTAACACAACCAGCCATTGTGCCGAGACTCTCAGAGGAACGACGGCAATAAGATACGCCTCGGTGGAGGAAGAGGGCCTTGTGTGACCAACGAATGCTGTTAGTTAACCTTCTGCTTCTGTCTCGGTAGACTCTTGGCTGCTCTGTCTGAAAGCTGACAGGAAGTTGTATTCTCTCAGTGTTTTAGGGGGGTTTGAAAAACCATTTTCTCACAGATCAACAGATTTCAGTTTTACTTGTATGCTCAGGCCCGGTTTCACAGACAGGGCTTAGATTAAGCCAGGTTTAGACATTCAAGTAGCTTTTTTAAAAGGGCCATTACTGGTGTGCATCTTGAGACAAAACAATGGCACTTGCATATTTTAAGATATGCAAGTTGCTTTCAGTTAAACGTGCATTTTAGTCTGTGAAACCAGGGGTTCGATTATCTTTGAGGTTTATAAAAAATTGTTTTCACTGTGATGTGTTCCTGAGAAGTTCTCCAGCACTTAGATTTCCTCCCCCCAAGTCTTTCCAGGAAAAACATAAGTTTTGGATGTCTGGTTAAACCGGATTCTTAAAGTGTGGTTAAATAGACATCTAATATGATTTATTTGAAGCCTTTGACCTCGCTCTGAATATTTGATTAACTTCTTAGCGTGACAACCTTTCCTAATATTGCCATTTCCTTCCAAAGTAATGTGTCAGACTCAGAAGGGTTTGCTGCATGTGATGCTCAACATTCATGTTTGATCTGATGTTTGTTCAAACACTAGTTGAAAAACGCCTTCTGTTTGAACCAGTTCTTTTCTGATTACAATGCTTTTTATTGTACTGGAAACCAATTTGTAAGATTACTCATGTAATTTGTTTTAAATGTTCCCTCAAAGTCGCTCATTTCTTGGAATGTGTAAACTATTATGTTTTTTCATTTTCTTTGGTTTGATTAGTTTGTTTCTATTAGTAACTTTTGGTGTTTTCCACTGCATTGTACGGTACGGCTTGCTACGGCTTAAATGGTACCACCTCTGTTGAGGTTCCAAGCGTACCATACAGATACTAAAATGTGACGTGAACACACTGCAGATCACTGATTGGTCAGTCAGACAGAACCGTCAATATCAGCATAATTGTATTTGCGAGACATCAAACCCGCTAGATTTAAATAGCCAGTAACAGACACCGCTGTAGCAACCGTTTTAAAACTACTTGCTTTAACAAAAAAGAAAAAGAAAACGTCCAAAAAAAGAATTGTAGTCAGTGGACGAAGTGCAGACGTTCCTCTCGTTGGTTGCCAAGGAGCGGATAAACTATAGCGGTCGGACTATATAATCCCATCCACTTTGAAGCGGTATACTAACTGCAGTGGAAAAGCAAACCGAGCTAAAGCGAAACGTGCCGTGCCGAGCCGTACCACGCAGTGGAAAAGCGCGCCGAGCCGTACCGCACATTGGAAAAGCAAACCGTGCTAAAGCGAAGCGAGCCATGCCGAGCCGTACCGCGCAGTGGAAAAGCGAACCGAGCCAAACCGTACCGAGCCGTACCAACAGTGGAAAAGTGCCATTTGGTAATTAATGAAGCATAAAATGAAAATTCACCCTGTTTTTAAATGCGTGGTATTGATCTCGTATAGAAATAAATCTATTAAAAAAATTCCATTATTTTTAATTTAATCAAGATGTCATTACTCGATCTTGTGGTGAAATAACAGACTTCTCTTAGGTGAAGTATGCAGGACTTCTCTAATGATTTTGTCCACTCAAACTCCTCTCATTTCCTACAATTAACTGCAAGTTCACATTCATATCTGCCCTCACCCATTGAAAAGCCGTTGAACAGAAACCATTCCTAACCCCTTTTTTTTTTTTTTTTTTGATAACCTGTTATACTTGAAAAGTGGATATTCATTTTCGGATTTGCAAAAGATTCGTTTTAAATGAGTGCTAGACGATTGAAAAGGTATTATTATTTTATATATATATATTATTAATCAGTGTAAAATAATAATCTGTAACGTTGCCATTGATAAGTAACTGATATGAGACCAATGATTTAGTGCATCCCTATAAACGTTCCAAAATGTAAGCACGGAGCCAATTAATCACCTTTAACATTCGTCGTCAGCTATTTTCATTCATCGATTTGTATGGTTTTGACCGGTTTGTTGTAGCGGCCCAGCGCGTATGAGCTGCGTTTTGTTCTCTGCTGCAGGAACTGAAGATACAGGCTGATTGAGGTAGAGAGAAGCCTGTGTGTGTGTTGGCGTTCTCTGCTGGAGGGACTTGAGCCGAGGGCAACCACTCTTCATTTTCAGCCCACACTTCTGCTGCACACATGAATGCACGCTGTTGCTGTGTCACATGATCCGGAGGCAGAGATCCAGAGAGAGAGAAAGCAAGGAAAAGATCTCATCCGTCACTCACTTGAATACCTTATTCACGAAAACGTGCTACTAAGCAAGTTGTTTTTTGCGCGGGCACATCTGAATGACAACCCGAACTTCCAGGTTTCTTGTTTCTTGCCACACGGTCGGCTCTAGCCAATATTTACCTAGCCGAGTCGAAAGCGCGCTGGAGTATAGTCTGTAACACCTGAGTGTTGTGGAGGAGCCCGATGACTCATAAAGATTGTACAGAATGTTTGTTTTTGGGCACACCTAGCACAAAGCTGACATTGTTCTCATGCAACCAACATATGGCCGGTTTTCGTTTCACTTTATTGCTAAAAACAGTCCATGTTGCCCTTTTTTGTCGTTCAGTGCTTCTATACGAAGCGCTTGGAATCCGAATTACGTATTACTCAACCCACTCGCGATGAATTGCTCTAAAAAAAAACTGATTTGTTTCAAACTCTGCTCCTCACTCAAGCGAAGCAATCTGACCACTGTGGTGGTGGTGTTTATTAAACGCTGGGTTCTCATCTCAACCACATAACGATAAGGATTTAGTATTTGCATGCAAGTTTAAAACCATGCAAATAGCCCGCTAATACACACCTCATGATTTCCATGTTCAAACCAGTGAGCTGGAGTTGCACAGACTGTAGAAAGTGTTTGTGTTTGTTCAACAACGCTCCGGTATCGGGTTCAGTTTTGTGAAATAGGAGGGACCAGCAAAGTAGAATTAGCTGGTTTTCTTTTAAAAATCACCTCAGTGCTTTTTGTTCATTTTTATTTGAGAGGGAAATGGGAGGGACTGGCAAAGTAGTATTCTTTTATAATACCAACAGTGCTATTTTATTGCATACTTTTTTTTTATAATTGTTTGTATTTTTGTTTATTTTTATTTTAAATTGGAGGGACTGGCTGAGTAGAGGTGTGTTTTTTTTAAATTTATTGTAAGTTCATGTCTGCAGGCATCTCCAGGTGCTTTTGTTGGACCGTAGTGACTTTCAGTGGTAGATATGCTATATAAAACATTGCAGAATCTGGTTTCACTGCAAGATTTGA